CAGTCAAGGACACCTCATGATATTTCAAGTCTATTTCATTGTGCTTCCTACTGTTACCTTTTGCCTTGCTAACCTTTTCGTATCCTATCCGAATCCTTTTAGTTTCATCCTGTTCTCCATTCGGGCCCCGAATCCGCTTTCGGGCCCTGAATCCAGTTTCGGGCACCGAATCCACTTTGGGGCCAGTCAACTCATCATACCTCAATTGTATTTCATTGTGCTTCCTACTGTTATGTTTTACCTTGCTTACCTTTTAGTATCCTATCCTCTTAGTTTCCTCCTGTTCTCCATTCGGGCTCCGAATCCGCTTTCGGGCCCCGAATCCGGTTTCGGGCCCCGAATCCGGTTTCGGAGCCCCAGTCCACAGTCAAGGCAACCTCATCATACCTCAAGTCTATTCAATTGTGGTTCCTTCTCTTAACTTCCTAACCTTCTAGTATTCTATTCTCTTAGTTTCCTCCTATTCTCCATTCGGGCCCCAAACCCGAATCCGGTTTCGGGGCCCGAATCGACAGTCAAGGAAACCTCATCATACCTCAAGTCTATTTCATTGTGCTTCCTACTGTTACCTTTTGCCTCGCTAACCTTTTAGTATCCTATCCTCTTAGTTTACCTAGCTAACCTGAAGAAAAAGTGTTGCATTTTGCGCTTAAGCTGTTGGGGATATTCTTTGGGCTTATTTTTGAAAACCTCGGAACTGGTTCGTTGAGCGCGAGTAGGACTCGGAGTAGCGTGGTAAAGTAGTGCTGTTTCTCTGCAATTTGGGGATCCACCTTCTCGTAAACGTGGCACGCATTTGGCTTCCGCCCAAGTTGAGGCGCGTGGGCAAAGAGTCCTTTATGTTCTGCTCTGCCCTTCAGGAAGTGCACATTCCGCCAACACTTCAATGCACAGAGCCCACCCTTTTTTCGACTGCGGACAACTCTCTCGATTCACGCGCATTGTGCGCCAATTTCAAGCGCCCTAAGTGGATTAACTAACTTCCTCCGGACGGAGAAGACTCTGATGCCTTTGATGATGAACAGGGAGCTCTCTTCTGAGGACCAGCAAAGCATCCACCACGACAGCCTTCGAACTGTACAAACATGTACATCAATTAGCCAGTTCCCGCCCATAGAGTACAGTGTTTTCGGTGTAGTTCGGCGTAGTTTCATTCTGTTTCACTGTGGAATCGGGGCCGTGCATGCTTCACCAAGAAACCACTTGTGACTGTCACCCTTGCTTTTTCGTGCCTTTCTCCTGGCAAAGCTGTTTGAGATTCACCGGCGCAAGGTTGCTATGTTGCTCTGCCTCTCTCGCCTTGGGGGGAAGCTGCATCCTGCATGCACACGCAGCGAGGATCGAGTGGTGCTTGGCTGCTAAATAAGTCGCATCGCAATTGAACAACCGTCGAGCAAGCTGTCACCATCAGCAGGCAGCGCTGTTGGAAGCTATGAGCCTTCTTGTTTGGCGCAATTGGACTCCTTCCGCAGTGGTTTTCCGATGCATACCTGCCTACCACCCACACTCGCATTTGGCGACCCAGCCAGTTGGATTGTCTATGCCTCTCCAAATCAGCAATGAGCAAACACAGATGTGAAGCCTGGATATCCAGGCCCAGTACAACGCGCTGCACGTGGTGCGCAAAGGCACCGCAACACTCCGCAAGACTGCTGCCTGACCTTTGAACTGTCGAGACATGCACATTTTGTACAACGTGCACTGAGAGGCCGTTTTGCTTAGTTTGACGCCTCTTGTTTCACCTCTTTTGTTTTGTTTCACCTCTGCATGACCCACTTGAGTCGCGTCTTGGCCAGGTTGGTTGTTTGGTTTGCTTGGTTTTTGGGTTGTGTTTTGTTTGTTTGGGTTGGTTTTCTTCCCCTGGCCGATGACTCACCTTCGAGTAGCACAAGATGACCTGTGCATTCTCTTGACACATGGCGTCTCCACCCGTGCAAAAAAATGACACGATGGTGGGCCTTAGAAATTCCCTCTATTGTTGGGGGTTTCTTCCGAAGTAGGTATGTAGTATCATGACAAAAGGTTTAAAGTGCTGGGTGGTTGCTTTCAAAGTGGGAATGTAAAGTCATGATGCTTGATTGGGAGGTGGGACTTAAAGTTAGTTTTTAACCTTATTGTTGCTTTTAACGCTATGTAAATCATGTTCTTTGATGGAAAGGGAAGGGGAAGGGCTTCATCATTTAGGAATGACAGAGTTCGCTTTTCACAACAACATATAAGCAGTGAGCTGCAAGCTTTAGTAATGAAGGACATCTCTGACAGCAAAAAACTGTGATGAACAACTTGCAGGAAAAGACACGTGCACACGTACCTCGGGCGATACTGTTTGGAGAAACTACTTGCGCTACATTATTTTTGGTACAGTATCAGTCTCACAACAGGTTTTTCTCAGTGTGGCAGCTCCAATGCAAATCTTGGCGTTTTGTTTATTGTGGGGCTGAACAATTGAAAGTGCATTTAATAGATGAATTTGCCTAAAAACCTGACGGCGTGACCTCAACGGCGAATAATCACGCACCAGGAAAGTGGAGAGAAAGGGCGATTCCAACGCTTCCATGAGTGGAGACAGCGGCCTTTTGGGCTCTTGCTTTGTGTTGTGATGGCGTCGGTATGGGGACTGTTTTTCAGTAGGATCGTTGGGTGCTTCTGTGCTTGCCTTGATGGTGATCCGCACAAGAGAACTGTGTTGGACAGGTGCGTTTCGTCAGCAGGGAGCTTGTGCTGGTGAGTTTTTTTTTTGCAGGAATTTTAATTGTTTAGATTCTCGATACAAAGGCGTATTCGCAGGTCTTTGTTTGGTATTGTTGTGTGAATTGTACTTGATGTCCATCCGTCATTTTTTTTGCATATCTAGTTGCACTGTTGGTTTCTACTTCCTGTAATGTTGAGGTGTTTGCATTCATTTCCATGTTCGTTTGGAATGCCAACTGTTTTGGTGCCCTTTTCTCATCTTCTTGCTAGGCCGTACATGTTATCTGGTTGTGCGGAACTTTTGACTCTTGACGCAATGATTCGCTCTCTCTAGGTTCCCAGCTGAAGGCTGTTTACCTATTCTTCAGTACTTCTTTGCAAGCCTTCTGAGTTCGGTGCCTGATGTAGTTCGGCGCGCCGTCTCGTTGAACGCGTAGCTTCAAGGAGCAACAGCCCAGTGCCACCAGCCATTTGCACCAATCAAAAGGACATTCCTGATACCCGCCATGGGGTTCTGAAACTCTTTGTGGTACATGAGGCAAAGGTATCATGTTTTTTTTTTTTTTCCGGGACAAGGTGTGTTTCTTCCTCTTCCCCTTTTTCCAAGAACAAACGTAGGACTTGGGATCGCGGCCATGACGCGCTGTCCACAGGTTGTCCAAAGGATTGATTCGATGTTTCAGGGAGTTAGCTTCGTGTTTTTGCCGCAGCGCCAAGGTCTTGCCCCTCAGCTTTCAAGTTTGCCTGCAACAGAACCCCGCACACCAGAAACTAGAGCTGACCGAAATCAAGAGTTGGTAGAACTCCAGGGTCCAACTTCGCATCGGGTCGTGCTAGTGGGCCAATCTATTTGTGCTTGTGTGTCAACTGGTTTAGTTCCGGAAGGCGATGGTCTCCAGCAGTGCAGGAAGTACGGGTGCTGTTGATTTGGTCTCCTTGGCTGTTTGCCAGCGTCTTCTGTTCGGGGTGCCCCAAAAGGGAACGAGGCCACACACCAACTAGGCACAACCGGTGGAAAAAGAGAAGAAAAGAAGACAATGCAGAACAATTGCACGCTTATATAACTCTGTTGAAGAAACAGACAGCTCACCAGTGTTGGCAGCTGTGGCAGCTGATGGGAAGCTTGATTGATTGTTTGCAGGTGTACAGGTTTGAGGTCAATTGCGATTTCATGGTCCACCCTGCATTCGTTGGCTCAGCATGGAATGAATGACTTGTATAGGCAAAAGGAGCAAGATGTATTTAAGCAAATCAATGTAAGCAAATGATATACTTTAAGCAAAGCTTTTCAGCAAAGCTTCAAGCCTTTTGTTGGGCGTTATGTCAGCTAATGAGTGGCCACTGGCACGTACAGACTTGCTTCCTCACTCTCTCTATGGAAAACATGACTCCTTGAAGATACGCCCGACCCTGAGCCAGACCGGACTGTGGCCGCACAGCGGCGCCTCATATAAAGTGGTTCCGACACCTGTTGCGGGTGAGGTTCACGAGGTCGGCAGTTTTGATGACGTGTCTTCCATGGGTTCCAACCAAGCCTTGTTACCCAGCTTTTCTCCAGCACTTCTTTGGCTTGTGCGGCCTTCACGGACGATCCCGAAGTAGTAACAAGAAGCTACTAGTAACAAGTGCATCGCTTCTAGTAAC